AACTTTGCACGTATTTTTCGACATTCCACCAAAATCTTTTGACTTTTGTCAAATATTTGTTGAATAAGCTATTTTCAGAGTATGCTGTACCACTAGGTGGTAACATGTTTTTCAGAAATCGCGTTTTTGGTATGAATTAGAGACAGGACTTCCGGAGTGCACTTCCTTGTAAAGTTATCGATAAACCAGACCAGCACGGGAATGTATACACTATTCAACCATGGAATGGAGACAGGAGAATTCGTAATATAAATTACAGTGAGTAATTTGAGAGCAAAGAACTACTAGAAGATGCAATAATAGAAAAATTGTTACCTAGTAATGTTGATTTGCCCAATGTCAGTGGCATTAGCAGTGATAGGAAGGATGACACGTATGTTATATATTTCTATTCCACCTGCACAACCTAGATATAGGGAGTGACCCGTACCTATTTCACCTACTATATCAGAGCCCCTAAACCAATTAGGAACTACTGGAAGGTACCCTCAAGCAGTTCACATATATAGCTGGTAAACACTGTATAATCATTCTCTTACCACGTTCAGTGACCAGCAACAGGTCATAGCTTCTCAAACAACTCATAGTCTGATTGGAGGTTTGGGGCACGCAATTTCTAGTCTCAGCTCAACCTTGAGACTTGGCACTAAGAAGTCAGTTTTGATCAGTAAACACTATTGGACTCGATCATGAATCATCCAGAGTTTGTTCTGTGGATGTTTTCAGTCCAGTTCTTTTGAACTTATTGTGTTCAATACACTAGTACAGTTTGCGACTTCTGCAAACCAGACTAGTTTTGACCAACTTACGGGGTATGTACATTTGCTTTTGTTCTAACAAACGCTCCAAATGTCCGTGTAATTCATTGTTCACGATATATGTGCTTTGCTGATTTATTCTTTTGTTCACTTTCATTGAGATGTCAAACTTATTCGTGTGAATCACGATTCTAATTCAAATTTTTCACAGTGTAATTTATTGTATTTTCATATCGCTTCAGGTTTTAAGTTCTTGTAATTGTGTAGTGAGTTTACAGTCTCCTTCTCCCATGTAAACCCGATGCTATGCCACATTTTTATTAAACTCAGTACGGAAATTTATTGTACAGTTTCAATGGACGTCCTACTTCATTTCCCTTTAGTCACACCACAAACAAAGATTTAGAACACATCTTGTGGGAATGTGAGGAGGGGCAGAATTACTGGCATGGCATTAAACAGATATGAAAAAACATTTTCCGAAAACATCAACACCAGTATGAAGGATGTAGTGCTTAATATTGAAGATAAAGTTTA